GGGCTAAATTCGTTCCAATCACGTTTTTTGAATGCTTACAAATCTGTAGGACAATTTATCATCGGCGATGGCCAATTTGGAGAGGATGTTTAGTTGTTCTTTAAATGTTTCTAATCTCTTCCTACAAGCTACTGAAATTCAAGCCTTCAACCCCATAATGGCAATTTTGAGCAAGCGTGACGTAACTAAATCATTCTTGAATGTTAACACTGTTAAAAATCATATAATCAATACTATGCTAGGATTTTTTTAAAGTTATGAAGTTCATTCACAGTTTTTGAACATTTTCGTGACACATTCACCAGTAGAACCTGTTCTCGATAATCGGCTTTACTCTGCTACATCTATAGATGATTCAATGACTCTATGCTCACCAAGCTATAGTCAAATGTGTGCATGTTATCTCTCTGCCGTATTAGGACTTCTCTAACTATGCCGCGGAAATTGTCATATGTGGTAAATTGATCTCGTTTTTCTTCATATTAGACGCTTTTTCAGACCGCGCGAGTTATATCTTTAAAATATTATAGTCAGCTGTGGATGTGAATCGGTTGCTGGAAGGCAATAGTATGGACGAGAGGGAGCGACTGTCTTGCGATGATGCAAAAAAGGAACTCAGTGGGTTTTGAAGTTTGCCATCCGTTTTTCCAAATTTTACCTTTGAATGACGAAAATACAACTTTATTAATTTAAGCAAATACTGGCTATTAGATTACTGGTGAGTATCTCATACAATCTCCGATGCTTATTTAAATGAATTAGATTTTAATAAACCTATTGGCACCAAAGTTCTCCAACGATCGACATAACGACAAAATAGAGTTTCATCAAGTTGGGACTTCTCTCACTTAGTTTTAAGACACTGTATTATTTCTGTGCAGTATTGTTAGTGTTCGAATATTTCATAATAATCTTGTATCACGGCATCTTGTGGAAATGAATGAGAACATTTTTTTTTCCAAATAAACTGCGGGACGGAAAATCTGCAGGTGCTATGACTTTGTCAGAGGCTGAGAACGTTGCTGCAAAGATTATATTAAATTTTAAAAA